AGACCTCCCTCGACCAATCATCGTTGCGCTTACAAATGACTATAATTTAATCACTCAATCAGCAGTTCGCTTTTATGTCGTTATGGAAATACAAAGAGATATTTAATTGTTTTTGGGGGGTAATTTGACTATTAGTGTCGGTATTAATGACTTATGGAGGGTCAATATACAGGGGTTGATATAATGTGTGTGTGTGTGGGTGGGTGGGTGTGTGGGTGTGTGTGTGTGTGTGGGTGTGTGTGTGTGTGGGTGTGTGTGTGGGTGTGTGTGTGGGTGTGTGTGTGTGTGGGTGTGTGTGTGTGTGGGTGTGGGTGTGTGTGGGGAGGGAGTGGTATGGGGGAGGGGGTTGGTCATGGGGAGGGGTGATGTCTTAACTACCCTTCTTAATTACCACACAGCATCCTCATCCCTACTCTCTACCTCCCTTTTCTCCACCCCCCTCCCCTTAGTAAGACATGTTACACCTGGATTTGGCAGTAACGTGTAATGACACTGTTGGTATATAGGTCACGGCAGAGAGAGAGAGACACGGGGCTCTTCACCCCATCCGTCTCCTCTCTCCCTTCCACCCTTCCTTGCTTTCACCCTCCACAGTAAGCCAGACCTCCACCCTCCTCCACCCAGTAAACCAGACCTCCACCCAGTAAGCCACATAACCACCCTCCTCCACCCAGTGTTTAGTTCCACTCCGTGTCCTAGAATGTGACCTATTTGTTATTAGGTGTCGTGTGTGTGTGTGTGTGTGTGTGTGTGTGTGTGTGTGTGTGTGCGCGCGCACGTACAGTATGTGAGCGTTAGCCAGTGAGAACGAGCGAACATTTGTGGTCCGGATACTGCTCGTGGCCAGAGAGAGAGAGAGAGAGAGAGAGAGAGAGAGCCCTTGTGTCAGTGGTGTACGAACCGTACCACTTTGTCTCATCCAACAACGAATTTGATGTTTAATGGCGCATACAGACGGTAAAAATGACAATATATATATACATTTTTTTTTTTAAGTATATATAACTAAATATTCTTACGGTATTTGTGTTAAGGACTTTTTGTTTATGTTTTTAGTCGTGTATAAATGTTTATCTTTCGTCACTCTGTCTTCATCACTGTGTTTAATTGAGTCTGTTAAATGCTCTCACTCAGTCCTTCTGTTACGGTGTGTGGGAGAAGAAAATATCGTACGAGGTTTTAAGAATTCATCCGCCATAGTCCGTCCGTCCATCTTTGTGCTGTGGAGTAAATGAACTAGTTTTGCGTGTGTGTGTGTGTGTGTGTGTGTGTGTGTGTGTGTGTGTGGTGAGTGTGGTATCGTTTCGTGGAAGAATTTAACGTGTTCGAACTCTTTGTTTTGTTGACTTGGCCTAACCTAACCTAAAACAACTCGTAACTATAAAATTTATGATAACTACAAAATCCACCAAAAATACAATACGAAAACTATAAAAACTACAAAAACTACAAAATTTACGAAACTTTTTGATAATCCATCTTTTATGTCGTAGTTTAGAGTGAGTTAGCGAGAAGACGTTTTATTCATTCTCGTTCCGGCGTTCACTTGAACCTTCCCTCCATCTGTGGCCTCGTGATAACTAAGTTGTGTTGGTTGTCAGCTGGTCTTTCTTCCTTTCTCCTCCTCTTCCACTTCTCTTCCTTTCTTTTCCATCTCTCATATCTCTTTCTTTTCCATCTCTCTCTCTCTTCCTTTTCCATCTCTCTCCTTTTCATCGTCCTCCTTTTCCATCTTTCTCCTTTTCCTTATCACTGTTTCCTCCTCTTCAACGCCTCTCCCTTCCCTTTCCATCTCTCCTTTATCCTTTCCACCATTCCTCTCCTCTTCCCTCTAGCCATCCACTTAACTCATCCTCCTCTCCCTTTCCCCTTCCTTCATGTGTCTTTCCCTCACCCCATTTCCATCTCTCTTCCCTCTCTTCTCTACTTTATCTCCTTCCCCTCTCACTTCCCCTCTCACTGCCCCTCTCACTGCTAAATGAAAGCCTTTGACTCGCCCTCTCCTTCCTTCCTGCCGTGTGTGTGTGTGTGTGTGTGTGTGTGTGTGTGTGTGTGTGTGTGTTTTGTGATATCGACAACTGAGGTGGAGTGAGTGTGTTTGTTTGTACTACTCTCTGTGTGTGTGTGTGGGGGATTGTTTGAATGTGCATGACAGGTGTGCATGACCTTGAGTGTAGGCAGGTATCAGACATGTAACTGACAGGTACTAGACAGCTGTTTCACTTATCTCATTTTATTTCTTTATTTATTATTTTATTTCTCACTTTTATCATATTTTTGTTTTATTGTTTTTTTTTGTTCGTTGGGTTTTTATTATCTTTCATCTTTTTTATATTTTTTATTCGTATTTATTATGTTATTTTTCAGTGTCTCTGTCTGTCTGTCCATTTGTTTAGGTGTCTGTCTGTCTGTCTGTCTGTCTGTCTGTCTGTGTCTGTCTGTCTGTCTGTCTATCGTCCATCCATTATTTAAAACTTCATTACATTTTATTTATGTGGAT